TGAAATGAAAATTAAACCCCAAAAGGATTATTGATAAAAGACATGCTCAAGTTCCAGAAAGAGAACGTAGTAACAAACATGGATTAGTAATTAATTCAAATGCTTTTCAAATTTAAATTGTGACACTGGGACCATCCTCATGGCAATGTTAATATAGGGGTCAAAGATTTGTCTCAAGTTCACTGGACTCTCTTTATGGCGTTGAGATCTTTAATTCGTGTTTGACAGAGGTCAAAGCTTTATTTTTAAGGATGCCGTCAGGACCATGCAGGGCTGTATCTAGATATATTGACTCTAAATGACTCACATTGTCGATGACCTGTTAAATGTTACAAAAACAATACTGTATAATTTGTACTATTTGCGGGGGATATCATTTTGCTCCATTCGCGTCACCAAAGATAGCACGAAAAAATTGCATACCTAATCATATACTCAATGAATATATAAATAAGTATAAAACACAAAAAATGCCGTTTACTGCTGACTAATTTTATTTTCACAAAACACTCGTAAGTGTCACACAAAATTTAATCCTTTTTAACTTAATTGATCCTGCTCAGAGTGCTTAGCATGTTATAGGTATAGATTCACTTATATTTGGATCCTGTGACATTGAAATTACACAACTCAATCGCATTAAAAAAGTTGTAGTGTGGCATGTTTTTATTGTCCATATGGTAACAGTTCCCTTCTAGTTCGCACTACCGAGGATATCCCTGTAGCTCGTTTGGTACAGCAGTATTCTAGGAAGCTGTGTGTTGCTTGCTCAAATTCTGGGCGACTCATACTGCTAGTGCTACAAAATGACGACTGCTTTAGTTCCTGTAGGGATGAAGAATTACAAAAGATGGTTGGAAGTAGTTCTAGAGGCAAACACATTAAGAAACGGTGTTTGGGGGACGTGGTGGGTTTGTACATAGGCTTACGGTTGTAGCTTCAGGCTTGATGCATGGTAGCAGGACTAGGAATGGTAGCAAAGTTTCATACAAGAAAATCTTTTATTGCAGTTCTCTGTAAAATCGCCATTCCTGTACGGATATACACCCCAGGCGAAAAGCAGGTACTGAGAGTTTCACACCTATTTGGGGAGGGGTGTGTGTGTGTGTGTGTGTGTATATTGTATTGTCGTCGAGGTAGATACTGTTCATTGTATCAAAATGGTTTGATTCAGGCAGGTGTTAAACACAGGTGAGAGAAACTACAGTTCACAGTTAATTGCACGGTACCTGCATATCGAAAATGATGGAATATATTGTTGTGTGTATATATGGTCATAATACATTGCTTATATGATAAGTGTAGCGCAAGTAGTGGGGGATGCAAGGCCCAGTTGGGTTGGCCTCCCCAAGGAAAGTTTTTGAATTCAAGAAGGTCTCTGGAGCAAATTCTTGTGTTATGTGGCAATTTTATATTAGAGTTAAGCTAATGTAATTTATGTCTCTGATATTAATTTTGAAAAAAAATAGAAGAGGCCCAGAAGGCCTGTATCGCTCACCTGAATATGTTTAAAATAATTGGTATGAAGTAAAGATAGTAGCACTCCATGGAAGGTGCTGTAAGTACACATAAAATTTCAGAAAAAATCCATCCAGTACTTGAGATATAGCGAAAACAAACTTCAAACAGAGCCCCACCCCTATGCCCCTAGCGGGGTCATACCCACCAATTATACAAAATTGAGTCCCCTTGACCCAAGATGCTCCAGATTAAATTAGGATAAAATCCTTTAATCCTGATAGTCGAAGAAGGATTTTAAAGGTTTTACCTTTATTTCTCCTATATTGGGCCCCTCCCTTCTGCCCCCTTGGAGACCACACCCACTCAGCTTATACAAAATTGAGTCCCCTTGGCCCAATGATGCTCCAGACTAAATTAGGATAAATTTCCCTGAATCCCTTTGGTAGAAGAAGGATTTTAAAGGTTTTAACTCTATTTCCCCTATTGGCCAGACCCACGGTTTATACAAAACTGGTTCCCCTTCACCCAAGGATGCTTCAGACCAAATATGAAACAAATCCTTTCATTCCTACAGAAGAAGAAGGATTTTAAAGAATAATTTGCTATGTTTCCTCTATAGGGCCCCGCTTCTCAGGCCCCAGGGGGGCCAGACCCACCACTTATACAAAATTTGTTCCCCTTCCCCCAAGGATGCTTCTGACCAAATTTGGTCAAAATCTGCTATGTCGTTCATGGCTAGTAGCTTTTTAAAGGAAAAGTTGACGGACGGACGGACGAAGGACGCTGCGGTATGGCATAAGCTCACCATGGTCCTTCGGACCAGGTGAGCTAAAAACATTTATTGCGAATTTTTTTAAATTTTGCTTTTCTTACGCAATAATTAAAGGTTTGAAATACTCATATTTCTTACATATTTTTTTACTCATCAAAATTATGTGAACTCATTTATTCCCCAATGTGTAATATATAATCTTGCTACCAGGATTAGTTCCAGGGTCTAGCCCATACTAAGGTACTAAGTTTTTGAAATAAAACATTTATCATGATAGACAGACTACACTATGAAACAAAATCTTTATAAATAAGCTTCTCTAAGATTAAGTGAAAGCAGTGCAGGCTCCTAACTTAAAAAAAAAGTATAGCATTTCTTCTTTAAATATGCTATAAACAATCAAATAAGGCATAGAGATGCTACATAATCAAAACATGTTTAATATGCAAGCTACACAATTAAATTCTGTCTTCAATAGAACGCAGCTGTGACTGGATATCAAACACAAACATTGTACGTATTAAACGTGTCACAACGTTCCAATAAAAGAAGGGTACAGGTGTACTCAGTGCACCCAGAACTAAACAAGGCTTCAGCCTTATAGTGTAGCTTCTATGACAAAGGGACCAGTCGGCGATGAAACGTTATCACATATTTCAAAAATGATGAATTTTATGTGTTGATCACACCTGTACCCTTATTTCATTTTGTAACGTGCCTAATGTTACACCTGCTGTAAGTTATATTGAGTTGTTGCCTACACATTTTATAAACTTTTGAAGTGGTCAAAGGAAGAAAAGTGAAGTGGTCAGAGGAAGAAACGTGAAGTCAGTGGTCAGAGGAAGAAAAATTTATAAGATATTAACGCAACTGACTTGAATATCTACCGTATTATGAAAAGTTCTTGTTACACAACCAATATAAGCCTAAAGTGTAACAGGAACTTTTCATAATCCATACTCAGTGACCAACCTCAAGAAAATGGTTAGAAAAATGAACTGAATTTCATTATCGTTACACAGAAACACATTGTAGTGGAAGTATATCAATTGTAGTGGAAGTATATCAATTGTAGTGGAAGTATATCAATTAATATTTTTAGTTTCTATTTTTCCCCCCGACGTTTTTTACATGATTCTTAGCATTTATGCAGTTGGAGAAAGCCCCATCAAGCTAATTAAGCTGTATCAGTATTATTTCATAAAGATAATGATAGAGATTATGTTTATTTTGGTAAGATCTTATTTCTCATTAATTTCTTCCCAAATGGGCATCATCTTTAGACCTCATTAAGAATATTCATAGTGTGCCAACTTCTTCCATAGCCTATTGATTTAGAAGTGTCATTTGTGTTTAGTTTGACATGGGAGTGTCTTTGTATTTCCTCTCACTTCTACCTGTTTGTATCACACCTGTTTGGTGCTTTTGTTACACCAATAAGAAAACAATCCACCCACCATTTCCTGTTATTCACACCTGTAATTATTTTAAAGGATAGATGAGTTATATAAATGATTAATTCTGAGTGTATGTGCACAGGCGTAATAATTATCATAATTATTTGCTAACTGACATAATGATTTCAGCTAGTATTTTGTCTATAGAAAAGAATGTAGAACCCCAGACTAATAGATAATCTAATTCCGTGCTAAAATGAAGGCTTCAATTTGTTTCCGTTTTAGATTTCAAGCTGCTTATTCTGTACGGAATGATGGACCCTTGAAAGCGAATTTAAATCAGCATGCTTTTTGTTAACATTATGAATAAGATTGAGGTGGTCAGTTGATATGTGATCAGCTGAACCGTAGCTGTATGGAGATGTAAACCAAGAACATGATGACAGGAGGTGCTCAAAGGTCTTGTTCATTCAGCTGTTACAGCGTTTGCTTGTAGTTGTACGGCTTTGAAGCAATAGGTTTATAGAGTAACAGAAGAAAAAACCAGAAAACAGTGATTGGGGTACTTTTGCATCCGGAAAGATTACACCTTTAAAATTTGTAATAGATGCAGTTTCCAAAAAAGTGAATTGCACTGCATCCTACAGCTGTTTGGTCCTTCTACGACTAATAGGTGTTGCTAGTGGCCAACAAGTTGGACAAACACAGGGGCAAGTGCTTGAACCCCCTCAATATATTAATGTCAAAAGTAAAGTGGGTATATTATGAACTGTGCCACTACCCAAAAGAATAAACTATGGCAATAAGGTTACAGAAAAACTCCACCAGCAGAGTCAGCTACCACTTTGTGTCTTGAAAGATAAACATAACACACACACAGATGATTGCACCTCTAAAAGTAAGTTACAGATACAGTGGGCCTAAAACACGTACGAAACCGCGCACCGTACTAATGGACAAAATAACAATATGATTTTTTTTGAGTATGTTTTGATAAAATCAAACAAAGGCCAAAATGAGTATATTAGGAATGAAGTCGTGAGAATGATCGGTTAACAGAGCCATACTTTTCAGCAATCTGTAAGTATTCCGATCTTCTGGACGGTTATGTTGTTTCTGATTTGAGTCTAAATTGTTTGAAGAGCTTATAAGACTGGAAACAAAATCCTTGTCATGTCTTTCAGTTTCGCTTTCAGATATGCGACGATGGCTTTCTTTAAATAACAATTAAGACATTCATTCACCATTCGTATACACACACCTGAAATTGAAACCAAGGACACTATAGACTGCTACAGGTGGAATGAATATTATATAACATCTTCAACATGTGTTGTAATTATAATTATATTAAACATTGTGTTTTGAAGGGCTATTTTCTTCTGAGATACCTCGAAAGGAAAGCTGGAAGAAATCCGTTTCTTTGTGTGATGAAAAAGTATGTGCAACAGTTCAATGGGAGGCTTGTCTCATCTCAGGTATGCTAGTAACCATTTGGGTGTACCTTCTATGTGCTTGTATTACATATATCTATGTTCACACTATATCTGAGTACTGTTTGAATAAAGATGCTAAGTTGGCTTGAAATCCCAGACATTCGCAGAATACTTACATGCTTATATGATTGTTTTCCCCACTCACGTTTATTTTCTGTAAATCATGGTAACTAAAAAGTAGAGATAGATGTGACATGATATTGGTAACTGTTTGAAACTCAACCCATGGAAATACCATGATACTCTATTAAAACTTTTTGAAGTACAATTTTTTTCATTCCATTTTATTACCAATTTTGAATTTAATAATCCTGTTCATGTTGTAACATTCAATTGTGACTTTGTGCGCTGTGTCCTTTGTTTACTGATGATAGTCGAAATCCATATCATTTCTACCAACCATAAAAACCAAAGCGGAACAACGCATTAAATTTATTTTTATGCGTTTGAAATTTCCTTGTGTCACGAATAAGGGAAATATGTTTGAGATATCTGTCCTTTAATCGTGTAAGTTCCTACTTCTGGGAACCATACTGTATAAGTATATATAGTTACTAGTGAGCTGGGTTAAAGTTTACGACTGAAGGTGCCTAGCATTTGGAACGTGACAGTAAGCATCAGAAAGTCTTTGTATGTTGTAACCGGACATCATCAGCAAATGTTGTATGAATATTGCGCGTTATTCAGATAATTAAAAGTAGCCAATATTTCAAAAGTCTTTCTTACATTTAAGTTATTTACGTCGTACATTGTATGCGTTAGGTAGCTGTACAAATAATCACCTTTTGTAGGTTAATTAAGGGTTGCTGTTTTTTAATTTATTTCCAACTTTCCGGGATTATTCCAGTAAAAATTAAACCACAACAGAAACTATACTACAACTAAAAAAACTAAACAACAGAAGCTAAGCTATATAAGGAGGACGAAACAAGACTTGTAAATTGTGTAACATTATGTTATTAGTGACCTAAATATTTTCCTGGATTTGATGGCAGACAATCTAGCTGCCACTCATTCCGAACAATTACAATCACCACCATCTTTGGTTTACTTTGGGGGGTGGAGTTTTTGTGTGATGTGCACTGTGTATGTATGATTTATATCCCCCGCTTTCACGGAAACGGGGGATATTAATTTGGGTTTGTCTGTCTGTCGGTCTGTCTGTCACGCTTCGTTTCAATGCAATAATTACAACAAATATAAACCGATTTTTTTCAAACTTGGTCACAGGGTTAAATGACTTAAGGGCTCGGCCTAGTTTGATGACCAGTTTGGCGGAGTTATGGCCCCTTGATTTCCTTCAAACTTGATAACAATGTTTGTGTTGCCCACCTGTGGCACTCTTCGGTTTTCATGTGATATATAATTGCTGTAGATATTGTTCAGATGTTTCAACCAAATTCCGTATGCACATCCGACTCATGCTAAGTCTGCCAACCGATCTGATTTGTGCATATTTACAGATGATCAATGAGGTATAGGGCTTCTTTTTTTTCTTCAAGTTTCAAGCTATACATTATGTCTCAACAGCACGATACTCACATGTTTAAACCTAACCTCAATAATGTTAACCTACAATATGTCCTGAAAGCGGGGGATATAAATTCAATGAATTTGCTTGTTTCTTTTATCTTCTGTGGGTGTTAACTCAGATTTTCTGGGGGTGTCTTGACTTTTCTGTAGGTGAACCCTCTGTTTCTTTCGTGTCAGCTTTTAGTTCAGAATTTGTGTATTGACTCGGCTACATGTATATCTTTCATTTCGTCTGTTGTCCGTCTTCCGTCCTTAAACAATTCTTGTTATCACTATTTCTCAGGAAGTACCATATGGATCTCTCTCAAATTTTATATGTGAGGTCCCCTTGGTCCCTAGTTGTGCAGGGCAACTTTTGAGACTGATCGGATAAACACCATGGCCAACAGGCAGCCATCTTGGATTTTGATAGTGAAAGTTTGTTATCACTCTTTCTCAGAAAGTACCAGAGGGATCTTTCTCAAATTTATATATGTAGGTTCCCCTTGGTCCCTTGTTGTGCAGGGCAACTTTTGAGACTGATCGGATAAACAGCATGGCCAACAGGCAGCCAACTTGGATTTTGATAGTGATGGTTTGTTATCACTATTTCTCAGGAAGTACCAGAGGGATCTTTCTCAAATTTTATATGTAGATTCCCCTTGGTCCCTCGATCGTTGTGCAGGTTAACTTTTGGGACTGATCGGATAAACAAAATGGCCGATAGGCCACCATCTTAGATTGTAACATTAAAGGTTTGTTATCACTTTTTCTCGGGAAGTACTGGAGGTATCTTTCCCAAGTTTGTTTTGTAGGCTCCCCTAGGTCTATAGTAGTGCATGTTTAATTTTGAGAATGATCAGAGAAACAAAATGGCCAACAGACCACCATCTTGGATTGTGACATTAAAGGTTTGTTTGTTATCGCTATGTCTCAGGAAGTTCTGGAGGGATCTTTCCCAAGTTTGATGTGCAGGTTTTCCTTGGTCCCTCATTGTGCAGGCCAACTTTTGAGACTGATCAGATAAACAAAATGACCGACAGGCAGCCATCTTCGTTTTTGACAGTGAAATTAAGTTTGTTATAGCTATTTCTTTGGAAGTACAGGAGAGATCTTTCTTAATTTTTGTATGTAGGTTCCCCTTGGTATGAGACTGATCTGATAAACAGATCTTTGATTGTGACATTTGAGGTTTGTTAAGTGCTATTTCCGTAGGAGTACTGGAGGTTTTTTTCTCAAATTCTATATGCAGGTTCCCCTCTATCCTTTATTGTTCATGTTTACTTTTGAAACTGATCACATAAACAAAATTGCCGACCGACAGCCATCTTCGATTTTTGAATTTGAAGGTTTGTTAGTACTATTTCTCAGTTGAGGGATCTTTCTCAAATTTGATATGTAGATTCCCCTTGATCCCTTGTTGTGCATGTTATATTTTGAGAATGATCATAAAAACAAAATGGCTAAAGTTAGAACTAAACAGATCGTTCTTATATTGAAATGATTGATTCTATTGTTTTTACATTAAGTACTGTACTAGTAACTAGTACTATGTGAAATGACAAACTCACTTTGAAGATTGGCTTTCATACACATCAGTATTAAGTTTAGATCAAAAGTTACCTTAAGGTGCATTTACTGTTGACATGACTCGATCAAACAGATTAGAGGAAAGAAAAGAAAAGATCGCACTGACAAAGAACTCATGAAGATGGTACATTGGTGTGCGCCAAGATCCCTCTGACAAAGAGCTCATAAAGATGGTAAATTGGTGGGCGCCAAGAACCCTCTGACAAAGAACTCATAAAGATGGTAAATTGGTGGGCGCCAAGAACCCTCTGACAAAGAACTCATGAAGATGGTACATTGGGGGGCGCCAAGATCCCTCTGACAAAGAACTCATAAAGATGGTACATTGGTGCCGTGCCAAGATCCCTCTGACAAAGAACTCATAAAGATGGTACATTGGTGCCGTGCCAAGATCCCTCTGACAAAGAACTCATAAAGATGGTACATTGGTGGTTGCCAAGATCCCTCTGACAAAAAACTCATAAATATGGTACATTGGTGGGCGCCAAGATCCCTCTGACAAAGAACTCATAAAGCTGGTACATTGGTGGGTGCCAAGAGCCTTCTGAGAAAGAACTCATAAAGATGGTACACTGGTGGGCACCAAGATCCCTCTGACAAAGAACTCATAAAGATGGTACATTGGTGGGTGCCAAGATCCTTCTGAGAAAGAACTCATAAAGATGGTACATTGGTGGGCGCCAAGAACCCTCTGGGATCTCTGGTTTATTGATTAATTGCTAGTATCTTCAATATAATAATTATTATCTCATGTGGCATTTTAAGTAGTTAAAGAATTCTGCGTGACATATACAATGTACATTATAATGCATTCACTATAATGTCCAGGAGTTTGAGAATAAGTCAGTCAGGGCATTTCGAGGAACAGGTAACGAAAAGGGAAAAGGGGGTCTTCAGTTATGTTGGTCGTACGCAAGCAGGCTAATGTCATAAGGGGTGTAGTCATGGTTATACTGGTAATTAACATAAATGACAAGTGCACTGATCATGATTACCTTAGGAAATAATACCATTCCTTACATTTTAACTTTCAGGATGTGTTGTCGTTTTTTCTGAAAAGCTGTACAGAATTACAGTGAGTATTGTTTTTAAGTTATAAGTGGCATTATGGCGATCGGGTAATTGTATGTATTATGATAATAAATAACACGCAATTACTAACGTGTATGGACAATATCCTAGCTATTACTGTGGATTCATTACAATTCAATGTTTCCATTGTTTTATAGTTTTAAAGATTATATTTGTAGAGAACAAGATATCACTGAAGCTGTAATCTGCAGTGAGTGGTTGGACTGGCCTGGCATACCCAAGGTAAATCAAACATATACATTATTAGATACAGGGAATGGTTTGTATTTACATTTTATGGGGAAGGTTGTATTCTTCACAAACAGTTTCTTCTAGTCTTTGGTTAACAACAAGTTTTAAAAATGCCTGAAGACGTTTGAATCAACAAGCTTTAAGGTAAGGCAACGTACAGTATTAAATTGTAATCCACTAACATTATCATGTGAAGGTTACATATGTAAGTCGGGTAGTGTATTATCATTATTGTTTTGTTTCTTTGTTATTGAGTCACGGGGTAAATCAATCTTCTTTTTACTCTTCTCGTCTTTTTTCCGGTTTTCCTTACAAGGTCTTCTAATTCTTGGTTTTCTTTGATGAGCCATGAAACTTGACTGCCGCAGCCTTTCACTGATCCAAATTTAGATACTATTTATTTTCATCAAGATTGATCAAGATTATGAGCTCACTTGGCCGAAGGGCAAGTGAGCTTATATAATTATGCCATGGCGCAGCGTCCGTCAACTTTTCCTTTAATACACTACTTGTCATGAATGTCCCAGTAGATTTAGACTAAATTTGATCTGGAGCATCCTTAGGCCAAGGGGAGTCAATTTTGTTTAAACGGTGGGTTTGGCCCCCCCTGGGGGCAGAGAGGTGGGGCCCGATAGGGGAAATAGAGATAAAACCTTTAAAATCCTTATTCTACTGTAGAAATTAAGGAATTTTATCCTCATTTGGTCAGGAGCATCCTTGGGCCAAGGGGACGGACATTTGTATAAATTGTTAGTGAAGTTGAAATCCACAGCATAATCAGGCAGATTTGTGTACTAATGCCCTGTACACATATGATGATCTTTATCTACCTACGTAACTGAAAATTAATGACTCAGTAGGAGCGGACAAAATTGCTAGCTATTGACATCTTGTAGACCTGATTCTTGGTGCAGAAGGATATTTTTAGGAATATTTAAAAGAACGTTTGTTATAATCATGGACTTACACTTTAATTATTTAACACTTTATTTAACATGATACCTAATTAAATTGTTCTTTAGCCTTGTACACTAATGATTTTGAAAACTCACCACTGAAACGCTCCACAGTTGACATTGTCGACAAGACAAATTTGTAACGCTAGATCTTCTTGTTGAGTTCGGAAAAATAAACCTCAGGCGTCACTAATTAACATCAGGAAATGGTTTACATGGCCAATGTTAATTGTTCAGCTCACATGTGTCACAATTAAAACTGACTTTTATTGTAATTTTTATTCACGTTGATTACAAAAAGTAATTGACTGACGTGATAGATTATTTTTCATCACATTATTTTTAGGTTTACCCAAGTCATTCAGGTGACTCGCGATTGACTTGTCTTCATCGTCCATGAACAATTATTTAATGAATTTAAATTTGTTTTTGCCTCTCTAAAATCTTCTGATAGGTATTAGCGAATTGTATAAGTAATCAACAGCCTGTGGTAATGGTCAGAGTCTGTCACATGACAACTCCTGTGAAACTAATTACAAGACATTCATAAACATTCTAGTAAGTAATCAATATTTATTCTTACTCGCCTCCTGTGGGCTGCGAGCACGCACTTTATAAATCTGCAGTTAAAAGTCCATCCAAATGACCACAGAAAAAAAGACAGCAAACTTGATATGAAGTATTTAAGAGATAATAACTAAATCGATTGAAGATTGGAAAAACAACTATATATATTTTAGAGAGCAAGAAAAGGTACCTTGGCATATCAGTCACATTGTGACTGCTTCCAACTGATGTAAATACCAAACTATACGTGCTATAAAACTTCGATGATTTCTCGACTTTTAGTGTGCTTGAAAACGTAAATCTAGAAATTCAAGCTGGACCTAATAGCCATATTCAATATATCATGCACTCATTAGGATAAATAAACACCATTTTGATAAACACCTTGTAACTAGGAAATCACTTGATATCACTTCATTTAAAATTGTCCTATCAAAGTGCAGATGTTGAAACTAGCTAACTTTATCTTTGATTGCAACTATTGCTAAAAAAATAAATAAGCAACACTATTGTTCAAAATAACATGTGATAAAGTGAGTTGATGCTAGTTTGAAGAATGGTACTTGCACATTTATAGAAAAAAAGAAGGAAAATGCAAGCCAGTGTAATTAACATTGTCATTGCTGTGATTGTTCTTGTATCTGATTTATGTCTTCCCTTAGAAAGATCTTCCGGCTGTTCCGGTTCTTCTGGTTCTTTAATAATTTCTTGTTTAAGCCGTAAATTTTAATCCATTAAAGGTATCTTGATGAATCTTGCAGTATAACTGCATCTCCAACAGACGGATGTACAGTGCACTGTTATTAGGTCACTGTGATAGTGACTTTAATGTCTAAGGTCAAATAAGCAGAACTTATTTTGGGGGGAATTTATTTTCCGGGACGTAATTTCTAATCCGATAAATACATCTTGATACAGCTTGCGGTTTACATGCATCATATAAAGACGATTTGTTGTGCGCTGTCGGTATACCATTGTAACCTTGACCTTAAGATCAAAGGTCAAATAAACCAAAACGTTTCAGTTGCATTATTAAAAAATTCTTAATGATCATGCAGTACATCTGCATCACCTAAATCATCATCTAATAAGTCCTTTTTGCAGTTGTAACTTTTAAAACTTTATGATATTTTTACTTTCCACATCATATCTCATTTGCAGACCGTTTCTTTGATTTGAATGATTTGACTGTATATTCTTTCCACTTCCCTTGCAAATCAAACATGTAATTTGGCTAATAAGGGGAGACGTACGCTTTCGTTCACAAAAACAAACCTCTAGTTTTTAAGTCACCTGAGACAAAGTCTCAAGTGACCTATTGCAATATCCTTTTGTCCGGCATCGTGCGTCGTGCATCCGTAAAGAATTTACATTTCTTCAAAACCCCTGAACCAATTTGAATGAAATTTTGCGAAACCTTCCCTGGCCAAAGGTCAACCAAAATTGTGAATTATATGGTCCCCAGCCCCCAGGGGCCTGAGGGGTGGGGCCAAAAAAGGTTTGAATTTACTAAAAATTTAAAAAATCTTCTTCTCAAGATCCAGATATGGTAGAATCAAATACTCTTCATAGATGGAAGGGTCTAAGATGCTTTGAATTACTAAAATTGTGAATTTCATGACCATGGGGTCTCACATTTCCCCCTGGGGAGGGGGTAAACTTTACTATAGGTTATATAGGGAAATCACATTTTGGACATGCATTTGTTTAATTTCCATTGGAATTAATTCAAACTTGGTTAGCATTATCAGTATTGGATAGCAGTTTGATGGTTTGCACATATCAGCCCTGACTGACCCCCAGGGGCTGATGGGTGGGGCCAACAATGGTCAAATTGACTGAAATTTCAAAAATCTTCTCAAGATGTAGGTATGGTAGAATCAAGTACTCTTCATAGATGGAAGGGTCTTAAGGTGCTTTACCAAAATTCAGCTGACTGACAGAACCACTATTTGTACATAGTACATTTACTACGCAGGTCTTATTTCACACTACTTTTGCATTACATGTAGTTCAAGTTACCTTTGTTAGAAAATTATTTCTTTTTCATTTGGCAACATCGATAACATCAGTTTTTACATAACTCAAGTGACCGTTAAGGCCCATGGGCCTCTTGTTTAGCTCACCTAGCACGAAGGGCCAAGTGAGCTTACGCCATGGTGCTGCGTTCGTCGTCTGTCATGCGTCACCTTTATACTTCAAACAACTTCTTCTGAATAACAAAGAGCCCCAGGCTGATGATATTTGGTTAGTATCATGCTGGGATGAAGGGCTCCCACGCATGTACAAATGGGCAAAGGTCACAGGGGTCAGATATGGCCAATAACATGCTGGGGTGAGGTACTACATGTACCAAGTTTGTTCAAATGAATAACCTTTACACATATTCAAGGTCACAGGGATAATTTGTCTTAAAAACGCTTTAAAACGAATTCTTCTGAATTACCAAAAAGTCTAGGGTAATATTTGGCCATAAGCTGTGATGCTGGGATAAAGGGCTTTAAATTTGTTTTAATGGATAACCTAGGCCGATATTCAATGTCACAGGAGTCAATGTATGAATAAACAAAAGGACCAGGATGATGGTATTTCGGCCAGTATCATGCAGGGATAAAGGGCTATAAAGTTTGTTAAAATGAATGACCTTTGCCCATATTCAAGGTCACAGGGGTCAAATATATTGAAATTTTTCAAAGACTTCTTCTGAATAACTAAAGCATCTAGGGTATTGCTTGTTCATGTGAATGACCTTGACACACTTCCATGGTCACATCTGATCCATAGTGCATAAATCTTTAAATGTCATCTTCTCAATAAACAAAATGTATAGGGTGGTGATATTTGGCAAGTTGTATTCTGGGATGAAGGGCTATAGAGTTTGTTCAACTCAATGTCCATGTTTGACTTTCAAGGTCACTGGGGTCAAATGTGTTTAAATCGTTTTACAGGTTCTTCTGAGTGACTTTAAGTCAAAACACTGATATTTTGCCTATGACTTTATTTTAGTTCACTTTTAAGGTTACAACTGTGAAATTAATACCAGGTGAGTGATGCAGGCCCATTGGGCCTCTTGTTTAAAGCATTTTACAGTGAGTATCATGTTAATGTGACATGCATCATGACAGTATATATTGGGTGTGTTTCCAAGAGGTAGTCAAGTAGTGATGCTCCCTTCCTTGCCATGTCTTCCTGAATTAAGACATATGTTAATGGTGATGCTTTCTGTGATAGCCCACAACAATTTGAATGGTTCGTTTGATAATCCCAATGTCTTCCTATTTTAAAACTTTATTTTTATTAAATAATGTCAATGCAAAATCAAAGTCGGACCGTCAAAATCCAAGAAGAATTAATTGAACATCTTTGTGACGTTTTAAATTCACTCGCCAAAATATCGTGCAAAACATAACGGCGGTGTGCGACGCATAAATGTTTGTGTTGCCTCTTTTTCCATGTTAACAATATAGCCTGAAAAAGTCTAGCATTTAGGGTAAGCCAAAATAAATGATGTAATACATATACGTATATTATCACAAAATAGAGACACAAATGGTAATTATCAAATGTATTTATTCAGTTAATATGATTAAGGCCAATACTGAAAATATATAAGTAAATCAATGTACGTAAGGCAAACAGATTAGCAAGGAAGGAAGTTTGATGTTGAAAACTTGAGATGAACCCCAATCAAGTTTGTTGAGGTTTCCCTGGGTCCAAAGCTACATAATCGAGAATGTCAAACAGAACAGACCAATTTAAGACTCAGCCTTTCATTGAAGATGTCTCTGCATACATGTTGTGGAATAACGCATTTTGAACAGGGAGAACATTTACTTGATATGAATATTGCAATATGTCAGATAGATAAAGCAGTGGTACAGGGACATTGTTATGTAAAGAAGGGCACGGCAATATCGTAATTCCTGTTACATACCATTACTATTGTTACAGCATCTACAGAACTTCCAACTACATAAGGAGAATAGTCTTGCAAGCCGAGTGCATGATGAGGTATGTTGTGTTTACTTATATAATGGAATATATGGTTTAACTGTTCGAATGAAATGAAAATAGATTTTTTTTATTTGTAGGAGTTCTGTTTGTGCTAAATTAAATTAAAATGACGTAAATATGGTGCTTAAAGTACTAAATAATACCGATGATTGCTAAATCAATCGTGTAAGCTATCTTTGAAACATCAAGTCGTCTGTGAAGACCTCTAAGTACTGCAGCTCGGCTTGTAGTCCGAATTATTCTGACGTTTTATCGACTTTTTTCATATCGGTCTGTCGTCGATTAACGTCAGAACTCCGAAAGATCTATTCATTATGCACGAGATGAACATACATAACATGCCTCAAACAACAAATACATTCACTGAAAACATATTTTTTCAAACTTTCTCTGTTTTACTCTAGTTTTTAGGTCACCTGAGCTTTAGCTCAAGTGACCTATTGCTATCCGTTTTCGTCCGTCGTCGTCCGTCGTCCGTTAACATTTTGCATTTCAAACTTAAAGTCAAGTTCTGTTGGGCCGATTGAACTGAAACTTTGTAGGAATGATCAGCTCTTGGTCCTGACAAAGTGTTGTTATTTTTTGGGTCGATCAGAAATCCACTATGGCCGCCACGGCCGCTATTTTGAAATCCTATTTCAAACTTAAAGTTAAGTTCTGCCGGGCCGATTGAAGTGAAAGATGGTAGGAATGATCGCCTCATAGTCCTGACAAAGTGTTGTTATTTTCCGGGTCGATCAGAAACCCAATATGGCCGCCACGGCCGCTATTTTGAAATCCTATTTCAAACTTAAAGTTAAGTTCTGCTGGGCCGATTGAACTGAAAGTTGGTAGGAATGGTCGCCTCATGGTCCTGACAAGGTGTTGTTATTTTTCGGGTCTTTCAGAAATCCAATATGCCCGCCACGGCCGCCATTTTGAAAAACTATTTCAAACTTAAAGTCAAGTTCTGCTGGACCGATTGAACTTAAAGTTTGTAGGAATGATAGACTCATGGTCCTGACAATATGTTGTTATTTTTCGGGTCGTTCAGAAATCCAATATGGCCGCCACGGCCGCCATTTTGAAAAACTATTTCAAACTTAAAGTCAAGTTCTGCTAGGCCGATTGAACTGAAACTTTGTAGGAATGATCAGCTCTTGGTCCTGACAAAGTGTTGTTATTTTTCGGGTCAATCAGAAATACAATTTAGCTGCCATGGCCGCTATTTTGCTACCAAATTCTAATAGGCCGATCTCACTTAAAATTGGTCTAGGAATGATCAGCTCATGGTCCTGACAAAGTTAAGTTAACATTATACTATTTTTTACTCAAATTGGTACATATTTCAACAACAAAAATAATACTGTAGACTCAGGTGACCGTTAAGGCCCATGGGCCTCTTGTTTTGATAGCCCCGCCTTCTAATGCCGCGTGACTCAAATCTCGCCGGCCTATGTCATACCGTTGGGAAATACCTTCGGTAACGCGAGATCTCGTCAAGTCATGTGACATTGCTCATGGCCTAACTTCCATTAAAAACATGGGTTGGTATAGAAAACGTTGGAAAATACTTTTCGCAATGATCTTTGAAACATGTTATTGATACCACCTAGTGCATAATGAATAGATCTTTCGATCCATGTGCGACATGTGTGTGAAAGTGACGATTTGTTTCTAAATTATCAGTTTGAAGTGCGCTCGAAACATATCCGAACAGTTCTACATTTCTTACATTGGTTTCCTGTGCGATACACAGTGCAATAGTTTTATGCACACACACAAGGTATTAATAGGAACAGTCCTTCAGGATCTCTTGATACCTTTTACCCACTGTCAGCCATCATTATCCCTTAGGTCTGGTCAAGAATCAATGCTGTTTTCCAAAATCTCGTACTTTGATGCAAAAAAAAGTAGAGAACATGCTAGGCGCTTTCATGAAGGTTTGGAAACTTGCCGTTTTGGACTGCAACGTAGATGCTGTCAATCATTGTGATTTTGAATAATAAATAATCGCAAGGTATGCGACAAGGAAAAAGGAAAAGCCTGTGTAAAATATAAATATTGATAGGAATAGTCCTTCAGTATGTGTTAAAGCTTATTCTTACCCACTGTCAGCTATCATTATCGCTTAGGTCTTCCGAAATTTCGTATTTTGACATAGAAAGTAGAAAAAAGTTGACCGTATTCAGGAAGGTTTGAAAACTGCTGCTTGATAGTTTTTCAACGTAGGTATGTTCAACTTGATTCTGTCAATAATTGTGGTTTTGCATCATAAATAATCACAAGGTATACGACAAGGAAAAGCCTGTGTAAAATGTAGGAAGTTAATGTTGCAAGCCAAATAGAGTAAGTCTTGACTGATTCTACTTAAACAACTCATCAGGGATACTACAGTTTCTTTGAAATAGAAATCCACACCTGAAGTGTTTTACAACCTGAAGAAATAAGCAGAAACGGGAAAGGTGACTGTAAAATGCTTCCCAACGTTACTAACGTTCCGGATACCTGAGGTTATGTCCAACCTTGAAACTGAAAGTCCACCTCCACATATATCCTTTAACCAAGTTGAGCCCATATTGCAGCTTAAAAGGTTACCACCGTGTATAATAACAGTTCGGGATCCATATTAGATGCTTATTACAAGTTAAAAAATGATTTAAAGTGCGTTTATCTCGCTAAGTTATTGCATACCTTTGTCTGAATTGCTTTGATTCAGGTTGAAACTCTAGCCGACCTATCAAGGCATTGGAAGGGTTCAAGAAAACAATGGCAACAGAAGAGAAAATGCTTACTGAAAGTAAGTTCTGTAGTTTTTAACTCTTCCAAGAAATGGAAAGAAAGCTTGTTTAAATCTGAAGATTGGAAGTAAGAGGATAACGCCCTCGATGTCATAATGATTATATATGCATGGTAATTATCCCGGCAGTGTATGTTTAACTCGCCTAGTCGGAGAAATGTGTGTGTCAATGTTCATATGGAGTATTAGCAATGTGCTGAACCATATTTTCATATTTAACCATTTCACCACTGTAGACCATAATGGACTCCTCCAGATCAATATATGGTAGAGTCTACTAAAGTTATCTAGGGGTGAAAGGGTTAAGGGGCAAAACATATCTTAACTGGACTTGGTTAATTTGTTTGAGTTTGGTTTTACAGTGCAATGGATGCTTTTCGGCAAATTGATATCTTGTACAGTAATAAAGCAAATTTGTTTAATTGTATTGCTTATCTGATTAACTGGCTATTGGGTTAAATAATAAAGTGTTTTCATTGTCACCGAAGTACACTTACTGTGTATCTTTTAATTCGTGTTCTTAAATAAACTGTCAGCTCTGTATAAAGGTATAATTTTATCTTTTGTTTTGTTTTATAGTGTAGAAATACTATTTTAATTACTTTTCCTTAAGATGGATGCGATTCAGATCACCCTGCTCATGGAGGAACTACTACATGCACGTAAACTGTCTAAGGACATTATCCATGATCTCGGAACACTCCACAGCATAACCAGGCAAAATGCAGAGGTATGAGTACTCTGCTTTTTACAGTAATACGCTTATGATAAATCAGCCAATTTAACAGAGATTATGATCTCTTTATAAATATCTGAGGCGAAATGTTTTATGCCCTTTTAGGAAAATTGATAAAAGGATCATCGCTTTGTCATTACGTGCATATGTGGGCTCTATACGTTCCCATCCTTAATGACTTTTAAACAAAATTACCATATTATTACCACTTCCAGAAATTAAGTTTATATTTACTCAATTATATAGTAAAATTGAGTTGTACACCTGATAAGAGTTTAATTGTCATCAATCAAGGTTAAATGGTCCTAGTTCACACTTGACCAGTTGAGGAGGTTATATCTTTACGATCGCCCACTTACTTTGTTTTATATCTCGCCTGCGACGGATGTCACGACGATGAGACATAAATGTGGCTTTCCCGGCGGCGACGGTAGCTCTTCTCCGTTACGACTTGCGTTAAGCTGTGTTGTATGATGTATTATATCCTAGAATTAAAATTGTAAAGTTAAAATGATTTTTTCTTGTCTGATTAAGCCTTCAATTTAAACAGTCTTCGTGTTGTTATGAAGAAACATTGCACATCGTAATAGGTCTACTATTGTAAACGAATGAACAGATGTCTGCTGCTAAAATTGCCCAAAACGCTCAATCAAAAAAGACAACTTATACCTTATATTTATATTGATATCGAAAGAAGTTATATTCATCCTGTTAATTTTGTTATTTCGGTAAAAAAATGATTGCGACATATTGTTGGTTTAACGATTTACTACAACAATAGGAAGTAGGAATTATTTAAATTTCGGGATTGTTGCAGATTCAGCATCGATGGTGTGAACTCGTTATTCAACACAAGTTGAGAAAATATTACGGAGATATAAGACATTTCCTTGTCCGTCATCAGGTAAGTTGATGTATACTTACCCCATAATAAGCATAGGTAAAGAATAAAATATTTCAAATTGGAACTTTCCCTTTCCTGAGAGTAACATTCAGGCTTCCTCGTCTTTGGTGCTTTCATTTATTCACAAGATTGCTCCAAATGAGATTTCCGTGTTACATGTCAAATGCTTATGGCAAAATGTATATTTTGTTGAATATATTGAAGAGGACTGGACTGGTAGTAAAAACCTTGCTTAGTCCTTCCATTTCGCATTCAGACATATCGATGATATTCTTTCTTTCTTTCAATCACAAGATAATTTATTCACCTCCTCGATCGTTTATATCCACTTGAACTTCAATTGATTATACATCAGCCGTTGCCTCTATCATTACTTACTACATGACGAACATAGACGGCCTGTAATGTATTGCTGTACGATAAGCGTGACGCTTTCTATTTCCCTACGTTGATTATTCATTTCTTGATTTTATTTTATTTCGGTATTCATGAGCTTGCTTTGAATTAATATAATGATGTCTGTGACAAATGTCCACTGCGGACAAACACACGTTACACAGGGTTTTGAAAGATGGTGGTTGGTGAGTAGCATGTGAAAAGGTTGATGTTTGCCATCATGATATAATTGAGAACTATTCTATTTCTGTGCACGTGAGGATCAATGCTTTTGGTTATTCTCATTAGTCTGTCTTGAGGTTTCGTTGTCTCTACCCTGGTTCACAATTGCAGAATGTGACATTACTATCATTTAATATAGATATAAAGCACAGGTATCGTCGATGAAACAAAAGTTTAATGTTTTCCTTTTTTATACGCCCGTCAAATTTGACGGGAGTATTATGGTACGGCGTCGTCCGTCCGTCCGTCCATCCGGCTTAAACTTTTGTTTGTCTGGCAATCTCCTCCTACTTTTTTCAATGGATCTCTTTTGAAACTTTGTATACATTATAATCATGATATGAAGTTGTGACTCCCTTAAAAGAATTTGTTGATTCGACTCCTACATTTTTTGATGGATTTCTTTGAAACTTAGTAGGCTAAATAATCATGAGATGTTGTTGTGTTTCCACGAAAAGTTTTGCAAAAGTTTTTGCCCTTTGTTTATTTCAGTAATTGATTTTTGTCTAGCGATCTTCTCCAACATTTTCCAATCGATCTATTTGATTTAATCATGAAGTCAGCTTGTGTTTAATGAGTTGGAGACTAACCTCTGATTACCTGTATTCAATAAAATATAAACAAGGTCCCTTAAAAGTAGATTTTGAGTCTTCAATGTGAGCATTTGGCTTTAATTTCCACTGTTCAGCTTCAACTATTTTCATGTACTGGTACATGCATGTAAAGAAAACATAAGATTCATAGAAAAGTGCTCAAATGTCTTCATTCCTTGAGGTATTTTGATTGAACTTAAAACATCTTGAAGGGCTATGACATCTAGGATCAATAACAAGGTTACCATTTACTATATTTTGTAAGTCATTGTTAGCTATCTAGCGACTTCGTCAAACTTCCTTTGGCATCATTTGTTTTGTATTGATCAAAGGTGAATAATGAAGGGTCTGTATCACTTGCCATGCCTTAAGTTGTTTTACAACAATAATTGCAATTATGGAACAAGTTATAAACAACATAAATAGCACAGAGGGGTTTTCAAGTGTAATGTTATGGAGAACTAGAAAATCTAGAGGTAGGTTTTCCCATGCCTTTTCACATTTAAGTTAAAAAAATAAACATTAACTTAGTTGTGAAAGGTGAGTGTTGTAGCGTTATAGCATCACAGCTTACCACTCTTAGAATGATGCAATTCGTATCTCAATGTAAGAAAGTATATAACACTATATGGCATTCGACGGGCGTATATTGTTCCGCACCGCGGTACTCTTGTTCATTTTTATCTAAGTTTCTCGATTTTCATTTCAAATTACGGATTTTTTTACAAGGGTAATCTTCTCCTGATTTCTCTCTGACGTTCAGGACCAATATGAGATTTTAGGACTTGCTGAATTTTACTGTGGATGTGATTGTTTGTTAGTTTGTTTATGTTTAACGGCCCATCCACGGCTGTGGTCATTTAGGGCCATGGTGTTTTATTTATTTATCTTATTTTTTTTAACAAACATGTGAGTAGCGAAGATAAAATCAGATAAAATGGTTCATTTTAGAAGCATTCGCATTGTATGTGTAGATAATAAAAAATAAAAAGGGGGTTAAAATAATAAAAGAGATAACGAATAGATGATATGGAATATGTGATATATATATAACGTCAAAAGGGGTAAGGTGGGTTAAAAGACATCAGAGTCTATAAAATAGACCGATGTCTTTCAAATAGTTAAATAATGCCTTCGAGTCCACGGAACTGAAAAGAGTTTTCATTTCCGGAACTCGAAAGTAGTTATCACGAATGTGTTTAAAATCGGAACATTCTATTAAAAAATGTTCCACTGTAAATGGAGTGTCACATGCGTGGCATGAAGGTAGATCTTCTCGTTTTAAAAGGTACGAATGAGTAGGATATGTGTGCCCAGTACGGAGCCGAGCGAGGACAACTTCCTCTCTACGATCTTTCCGACTGGGAATAGATGTTTTAAGTTTCGGTTGTATTTTAAAAAGTTTGTTGGTGGTCTCGAGAGACCAGCGTTTCTGCCATTCATTTTGAATGGCTGTACGAATAGTAGGTTTAAAATCTGTGTATGGTAGTTTGATATTTGTTTGTTCGAGATTCAATTCATTTTTTGCTTCCCTGTCAGCAAATTCGTTGCCTTTATTTCCGACATGGCTCGGAATCCATGTCGGAAGTTATTTTTAGACTTTTTTAAGATACGAGATATTCGAAGAGCAAGGTTTTGTACGAGTGTGTTTTTAGGATCTCGTAACTGTAAACTCTGAAGGACAGATAGAGAGTCTGAACAAATAATTGCCTTTTTAATGTGATTGTTACATTTTATCTAAATGTCATTCTACTACATCGGGATAACCAGAGATGTCAAGAGAGACAACGCAAATTAGAAAACAAAACATGTATGGGTAAAAAAAAAGAGGTTCCAGGATTTGCAATGAGGGCAGAAGATCAATTCATGTTTTGTTGCGTCATAATTTGATAAAACAAACCCCTAAGCAAAAAAAAATCGAATTAACAATGCAAACTTCAAATGCTATTTAGAAAGATCAATGAACATGTTCGGATTCATTTCAGTCATTAAGTATATTAAGCACCGTCAGGTATATCGAGAGTTAAAATTCCAAATAAGACTGCATTGGAATAAGAAACAAAACAGATGGATGATACGTTTAGAAACAGGCTTTTCGGAAAGTACACCTTATTGAACCAACTTCCGGTTAGCGGTAGTTTTGGTTGAGCTTTCATTTAGGTATTTTGCGGGTCCACACCTTGATTGCCAACCTTAAAACAGTCAAACGAAATGTCGCCAACATATCCGTCTTTAGCTATTACGCTTTTTGATAGTTAAAACAGGGTATAGCTCTGTAAAATACCGAATTACGTATATTGTTATAAGGCGCGCAGCAGAGATAAACCAAAATGTCGACCGACATACTAGTATATCTCAAGATTAGATATAGCAGGTATTTTTTTCATGATACAAGATAACATATCTTAACCTGCATGACGACTTTCAATATCAATATATAAAACTCTTAGGCGCCAAATTAGGAATCTCTGGTTTGTCAATAAACTGCTTTTCTTTGAATTCATTGAACCAAAACAGCTACATGTATTTATGCAAATACCCTCTGAAAAGTTCTCAGATGTAAAAGATTCATATCTATTTAAAAGTGTCATAGTTTTGCGTTTTAAAGGCATATTGATGACACTAATATAGTATAGGTGATCTTCAAGGGGTCCCATTCACACAAGGAAGTGTTTCTATTTCTCAATTTAAAATTCAACAAAGATATTCTTGACGTATTTTGAAGACAAAAACATAATAAGAACAGTAGCACGTCAAGGTTCAAGACCCATGTGACTTGTGTTGAAATATATTTTAAGTCAGACATTTTCTGAATTTCCCCTTATAATCGGAATATATTTGACCAAAACAAGGGCGACATATTATACAGCTATACAAATACGCACAACCTCAGTCGCCTCTAAGATACATTAGGTTCATTTTTGTGAATCAGTATTAAATTTAACGTTTTTTAAGTTTAAATATTCGAGATGTCTCCTTTTAAATGTAAAGATGTGGTTGAGCAACAATTGTCTTTCTCAGACATTACAAAGACATCAGTAAACTAGTTTGAATAGGCAAAATTTTCAATTACGTATGGTACTGAAATGTTCTCCATTATGTTTGCAATCATTTCGGATGTTTAATCTTACCGAACAAGTGGTATTGTTCGTTTTGGAAGGGAGGGACAAGAGAGATTTCAACTACAAATAATGGAATAGATAAAAAAAAAAAAAAAAAAAAAAAAACACGCTGTTATTACCATACCATTTAAAACATCATAACTTTAAGTTGTAGGTGCGTGCGTATGTAATGCTTTCAGTTTAAACAAATGTAATCTCCATTGTTATTTGTCTGTTTCAGGCGATGGGAGTTTATCTATACGGAGAACTTATGATATCAAGAGACAAAGAACAGAAATTGCTGGCAATGGAGGTATTCGAACAACTAAACACCGACATGGAACCTGACCCGCTTAAATCTGTACGAGCTATGCTATATGGTTAATAAAAACGATTACTGACGTAGATCTGTGTTTCATCTTGAGTGCTATATCTTCATGTCACGGATTATAGCTTTTCTAGCAGAACCGACAGAAATCTCTGAATACAGGACATTGCTCACAAGTTAACTTCAGGAAGTGTTAACGATTACATATTTACAAATCTGAGTGATGTTCCACAAGAGCTAGTGTTGTAAACATCGTTGTATTGAGGCACTGATAAGTTCCTTTTGAATATCTATGACAAAAACGTTAACAAATCATCACCGAAGTACGACTCCTCGAAAAACGTTATTAACAAATCATCCCCGAGGCATGCCTCCTCCAAAAACGTTATAAACAAATCCTCCCCGAAGTATGACTCCTCCAAAGACGTTATTAATAAATCATCCCTGAAGTATGACTCCTCTAAATACGTTATTAACAAATCCTCCCCGAAGTATGACTCCTCCAAAAACGTTATTAACAAATCCTCCCTGAAGTATGTCTCCTCCATAGGTGTTATTAACAAATCCTCCCCGAAGAAGATTCCTCCAAAGACGTTAAGTATGACTCCTCCAAAAACGTTATTAACAAATTCTACCCGAAGCATGCCTCCTCCAAAGGCGTTATTAACAAATCCTCCCTGAAGTATGACTCCTCAAAAAACGTTATTAACAAATCCTACCCGAAGCATGCCTCCTCCAAAGGCGTTATTAACAAATCCTCCTCGAAGTATGACTCCTCCGAAGGCGTTATTAACAAATCCTCCCCGAAGTATGACTTCTCCAAAGACATTATTAACAAATCCTCCCCGAAGTATGTCTCCTCCAAAGGTGTTTTTAACAAATCCTACCCGAAGTATGACTCCTCAAAATACGTTATTAACAAATCCTCCCCGAAGTATGACTCCTACAAAGGTGTTTTTAACAAATCCTCCCCGAAGTAGACTCCTCCTAAGACGTTATTCATAAATCCTCCCTGAAGTATGACTCTTCCAAAGACGTTATTAATAAATCATCCCTGAAGTATGACTCCTCTAAATACGTTATTAACAAATCCTCCCCGAAGTATGACTCCTCCAAAAACGTTATTAACAAATCCTCCCTGATGTATGTCTCCTCCATAGGTGTTATTAACAAATCCTCCCCGAAGAAGATTCCTCCAAAGACGTTATTCATAAATCCTCCCTGAAGTATGACTCCTCCAAAAACGTTATTAACAAATCCTACCCGAAGCATGCCTCCTCCAAAGGCGTTATTAACAAATCCTCCCTGAAGTATGACTCCTCCAAAGGCGTTATTAACAAATCCTCCCTGAAGTATGACTCCTCAAAAAACGTTATTAACAAATCCTACCCGAAGCATGCCTCCTCCAAAGGCGTTATTAACAAATCCTCCTCGAAGTATGACTCCTCCGAAGGCGTTATTAACAAATCCTACCCGAAGTATGACTCCTCCTAAGACGTTATTCATAAATCCTCCCTGAAGTATGACTCTTCCAAAGACGTTATTAACAAATCCTCCCTGAAGTAGACTCCTCCTAAGACGTTATTCATAAATCCTCCCTGAAGTATGACTCTTCCAAAGACGTTATTAACAAATCCTCCCTGAAGTATGACTCCTCAAAAAACGTTATTAACAAATCCTACCCGAAGCATGCCTCCTCCAAAGGCGTTATTAACAAATCCTCCCTGAAGTATGACTCCTCCAAAGGCGTTATTAACAAATCCTCCCTGAAGTATGACTCCTCAAAAAACGTTATTAACAAATCCTACCCGAAGCATGCCTCCTCCAAAGGCGTTATTAACAAATCCTCCCTGAAGTATGACTCCTCCAAAGGCGTTATTAACAAATCCTCCCTGAAGTATGACTCCTCAAAAAACGTTATTAACAAATCCTACCCGAAGCATGCCTCCTCCAAAGGCGTTATTAACAAATCCTCCCTGAAGTATGACTCCTCCAAAGGCGTTATTAACAAATCCTCCCTGAAGTATGACTCCTCAAAAAACGTTATTAACAAATCCTACCCGAAGCATGCCTCCTCCAAAGGCGTTATTAACAAATCCTCCTCGAAGTATGACTCCTCCGAAGGCGTTATTAACAAATCCTCCCCGAAGTATGACTCCTCCAAAGGTGTTTTTAACAAATCCTCCCCGAAGTATGAATCCTCAAAATACGTTATTAACAAATCCTCCCCGAAGTATGACTCCTCCAAAGGTGTTTTTAACAAATCCTCCCCGAAGTAGACTCCTCCTAAGACGTTATTAATAAATCCTCCCTGAAGTATGATTCCTCCAAAGACGTTATTAACAAATCCTCCCCGAAGTATGACTCCTCCAAAGGTGTTTTTAACAAATCCTCCCCGAAGTATGAATCCTCAAAATACGTTATTAACAAATCCTCCCCGAAGTATGACTCCTCCAAAGGTGTTTTTAACAAATCCTCCCCGAAGTAGACTCCTCCTAAGACGTTATTCATAAATCCTCCCTGAAGTATGACTCCTCCAAAGACGTTATTAACAAATCCTCCCTGAAGTATGACTCCTCCAAAAACGTTATTAACAAATCCTACCCGAAGCATGCCTCCTCCAAAGGCGTTATTAACAAATCCTCCCCGAAGTATAACTCCTCCAATGCGTTATTAACAAATCCTCCCTGAAGTATGACTCCTCCAAAAACGTTATTAACAAATCCTCCCCGAAGCATGCCTCCTCCAAAGGCGTTATTAACAAATCCTCCCCGAAGTATGACTCCTCCAAAGGCGTTATTAACAAATCCTACCCGAAGTATGACTCCTCCAAAAACGTTATTAACAAATCCTCCCTGAAGTATGACTCCTCAAAAAACGTTATTAACAAATCCTACCCGAAGCATGCCTCCTCCAAATGCGTTAACACATCCTTCTCGATGTATGACTCCTCCGAAGGCGTTATTAACAAATCGTACCCGAAGTATGACTCCTCCGAAGGCGTTATTAACAAATCCTACCCGAAGTATGACTCCTCCTAAGACGTTATTCATAAATCCTCCCTGAAGTATGACTCTTCCAAAGACGTTATTAACAAATCCTCCCTGAAGTAGACTCCTCCTAAGACGTTATTCATAAATCCTCCCTGAAGTATGACTCCTCCAAAGGCGTTATTAACAAATCCTCCCTGAAGTATGACTCCTCAAAAAACGTTATTAACAAATCCTACCCGAAGCATGCCTCCTCCAAAGGCGTTATTAACAAATCCTCCCTGAAGTATGACTCCTCCAAAGGCGTTATTAACAAATCCTCCCTGAAGTATGACTCCTCCAAAAACGTTATTAACAAATCCTCCCCGAAGCATGCCTCCTCCAAAGGCGTTATTAACAAATCCTCCCCGAAGTATGACTCCTCCAAAGGCGTTATTAACAAATCCTACCCGAAGTATGACTCCTCCAAAAACGTTATTAACAAATCCTCCCTGAAGTATGACTCCTCAAAAAACGTTATTAACAAATCCTACCCGAAGCATGCCTCCTCCAAATGCGTTAACACATCCTTCTCGATGTATGACTCCTCCGAAGGCGTTATTAACAAATCGTACCCGAAGTATGACTCCTCCGAAGGCGTTATTAACAAATCCTACCCGAAGTATGACTCTTCCAAAAACGTTATTAACAAATCCTCCCCGAAGTATGACTCCTCCAAAGACGTTATTAATAAATCATCCCTGAAGTATGACTCCTCCAAAAACGTTATTAATAAATCCTACCCGAAGCATGCCTCCTCCAAAGGCGTTATTAACAAATCCTCCCCGAAGTATAACTCCTCCAATGACTTATTAACAAATCCTCCCTGAAGTATGACTCCTCCAAAAACGTTATTAACAAATCCTCCCCGAAGCATGCCTCCACCAAAGGCGTTATTAACAAATCCTCCCCGAAGTATGACTCCTCCAAAGGCGTTATTAACAAATCCTCCTCGAAGTATGACTCCTCCAAAGACGTTATTAATAAATCCTCCCTGAAGTATGACTCCTCCAAAGACATTATTAACAAATCCCCCCCGAAGTATGACTCCTCCAAAAACGTTATTAACAAATCCTCCCCGAAGCATACCTCCTCCAAAGGCGTTATTAACAAATCCTCCCCGAAGTATGACTCCTCCAAAGAGGTGATTAATAAATCCTCCTTGAGGATTGACTCCTCCAAAGACATTATTAACAAATCCTCCCCGAATCATACCTCCTCCAAAGGCGTTATTAACAAATCCTCCCTGAAGTATGACTCCTCCATAGGCGTAATTAACAAATCATCCCCGGAGTATGACTCCTCCATTGACATTTTCTTGGGCAAATGCGGCTTATTCTACAAATATTATTAATACTGAGACATGTATTTAACGAAGTAAACATCTTTTAAAATTATGATGTTTGTGTAACGACGATTGTTTGGGATAACTACAGGTACGTTACTTACTGCGTGGACTAGCTACTGGCAGTGTATTGCCACGGAATAAATTAAACTTATAATCAATATATTTTGTACCCAAAACCCTCCCCTACTACACACCCCCTTCTTTAAAAAACAATGCAATATTTACAATTAATATCCCCCCAAAAATGTCTTGTTATAACTAGGAATCACTCTAGCCCCTCACTCATACCACAAGCGTTCAAGTATCAAAATATTATAAATCATCAAGTATATATCATATAAAAAGCACTTTGGATGAAATGGATACCAACAAATTAATTCTGAAAAAGAAATGTCACTTTTCTAGCAAATAATGTTCTGTGCTTCACTCCATGATGTCTGGGAACACGATTGGTACCTCCTCCTTTGGCTGTCCACGTCCCCTAGTCCTCACATATCCAGAAGGCTGTCCATCAATGATCCGGAATCCCACAACCTCATCCCTACACTGGTAAACAGGAGGGGGATTAATGCCTGCACCCTCCTCAGCCACCTGGCGACGCCGCTCCTGGCTCGCTCCCTCCTGGAGTTCATCTTTCCATTGGGCATCAGTCTCCCTCCTGTGGGGATATATCTTCTATTCTCCGTCACCAGGCCATGGGACTGTTTTGCGGCCTCTCCTGCATCCTCACGGTTCAGTTGATGTTGTCGCATGAAGTGACGGAACAGTTGCTGTTTGTACACGTGTACACGCCCACACCTTCCACACTAAAACTTTTCCAGTTCCGGAAGGTGTAGGGCGTTCCAGTGTGTATATAACTTCTTATACGTTAGGTATACTCTCCCGGATCTGCCACACACTTCCACTGGGCACTTCATCCCCACCTCTGTCCATTTGGCCCTCAAGTCCTGGTCCAGCTCCCCCAGCTCAGACCCTTCCACCATGAGCTCCAACACATCAACCATCCTGAAACAATCTTTAGCACATTTTTTTCCAGGTTAGGTTAATATTATAAAACAACTAATTACCTATATAACAACCTAACAACATTTTAAAAACTATCCAATAGGTCCTGTTCCTGTATAATATTATGGGAAAAATATAACCTTCGGTATATTGATTGTCTTCCCCCCAGGGGACTTCTGGACCTCATATGTCACCCCTGACACCTTCCCAGTAATCTTATAAGGCCCTGTCCATCCCAACCCCAATTTATTGTTTAACCCTGGGGGGTACCAACTCCAAACAAAGTCCCCCTCCTTGTATTCTCTGGGTTTGAACCCTCGGTCATAATGATTCTTCTGCCTCGCTGCTGCCTTTCCTACATTTCCCTTCACAAATCCGAAGGCATCCCTCATACTGTTCTGTAACCATTCCACATATACATTTGGACAGAGCCCACCTTCAGAGTCTGTTGGCCCCCCTACTACAATGTCTAAGGGCAGAGTTATATCCCTTCCCAACATTTACCTGTTTGGACTGCAGCTAGTGCTGCACTGTGCAGTAGCCCTGTATGCCATTATGATATAGGGCAGATGATCATCCCAATCATCGCGGTGTTCATTCACAAACATGGAAAGCATCTGAATTATAGTCCGGTTCAGTCTTTCTACAAGACTATCCGACTGAGGGTGGTATGGAGTGGTTCTATATTTCTGTACTCCCATGTTTTTACAGAGATGTTCGATAAATTCCCCCTCAAACTCAGGACCCTGATCTGTGTGAATCTGACAAGGGACTCCAAACCGACTAAAAAACTCTGTGCATAGTTTGTCTGCGACAGTGAGGGCAGTGCGATCTGCTACTGCATAGGCTTCTACCCACTGTGTGAAATAGTCACTGACTACTATTATGTACTGATTTCCATTACCGGTTTCTCAGAGTTGCTGTCTCCCAGAACCTGCAGTGTCCCCTCCCCACCTACTTGCTCTCTCATTTTAACTGTGCATTGGGGACAATCTCCCCGCTTACATGCCCTATTGGGTTTTCTGGATAAACTGTCTGCATTCTGGTGTTGACTCCCTGGCCTATGCTGGATGTCACAGTCAAACATTTCTATCATGGTTAACCACCTGGTTAGCATCCCCTCTGGGTCTTTGAAATTCTTCAACTAGATAAGTGAAGCATGATCTGTTCTCACGGTAAACCTCCTACCTAACAGGAAATGTTTGAAATGTTTGAGAAAGGTTACCAGTGCAAATAATTCTTTTTGTGTTTAACAATAGTTTTGTTGCGCCCGATTTAGAGTTTTGCTGGCATACGCTATCACCACTTCATCTGCCCCTTGTAATTGTGACAGAACAGCTTCTACCCCTGTGTTACTTGCATCAGTGTCTAATATAAAAGTACTCTGATTATCGGGATAAGCCAAAATGGGTGTTCTTGTTAACCGTCCTTTCAGTTCATTGAACGCCCGAGTACACTCTTCCCCCCACTTAAACCTTTTGCTCTTCTTGGTTAGTTCTAGCAAAGGGGGGACAACTGTGGAAAAGTCGGGAATGAAACGGCGGTAATATCCAGCTAGTCCCAAAAAGCTCCTAACCTCGGAAATGTTCTCTGGCAGTGGCCACTCCGCCACTGCTCTCACTTTCTCCGGGTTACAGCTTATGCCAGCTTCTAACACTACCATGCCCGAGATATTCTACTTCGGTTTGAAAAAAACTGCACTTCTTGGGTTTCAAAGTCTAAAACAATCAAACACCTCTGTAAGATTTGTCATAGCCATCTCAAAAGTTGTTCCAAACACAATAACATCATCTAAGTAACACAAACACTTTGACCACTGTAATCCCCCTAAAACAATTTGCATCATGCGGGAGAATGTTGCGGGTGCATTGCACAACCCAAAAGGCATAACATTGAAGTGGTATAAACCTTTATGGGTAGCGAAAGCTATTTTATCTTTGTCAGTCTCCTTCATCATACACTGCCAGTACCCACTGGCCAAGTCCAGAGTACTGAACCACTTAGCCCCAAACAACGTATCTAGCGCATCCCGATTTAAGGGTAACGGGTAGGCATCCTTCTTGGTCAAGGTGTTAAGCTTACGATAATCCACACAAAACCTTACTGACCTATTACCAGACGCTGTTGTCAGCCGCAGGTTACAGCTTCGCAACTCAGGCCTTCCTACTTTGCTACTGTATACTGCCTGTGTAATAATAGTTACTGAGGAACCCAAGTCCAACAAACACCTTATCTTGGTACCACCAACCAGGGTATCTACAAACAAACTAGGCATAACAGAGTTAAGCATCACCAATGGCCCTTCTCCTCCTGATTAATTTGAGATTGATGAGAATTGAGGAATTAATAAAACACTCACTTCTATTGCCCAAAAGACAATTCCAAAATCCGCTCCAAAACCTACGAAGTTCCTTTTATCTGAAGAATCTTTTAAAACACGCAGTAATCGGGCGGCTGCTCTAAGACGCTAATTCAATTGCCCAACTGCTTCAAACTACAGTGAATTTAAAATTTGGCGGGCAAAGGCTCGGCGATCAATTAAAATTGACAAAAGAAACAGCTGGAGAGAATATGTATCCAAGATATCATCAAACACGTCCTCAAAAAAAGTATGGGATATGATTCGGAAAATAAGTGGGAAAAAGAAAAAGGCAACATCCTCCCACCTCATTAATAAAAACAAAATTTTCTCGTCTATAACTGAAATTGCTGATGCATTTGCAAAAAACATAGCTAAAAACTCATCCCCTTTAAACCACTCCCAAAAATTCCAGTCTTTGAAAAAAAAGAGAGAAAAGAAACGGCTCAATTTCAAATCATCAAACAAAGAAAGTTATAATGAACAATTTACCCTACCAGAACTTGTTGATTCGCTTAGAAAATCACAGGACACTGCTTCAGGTCCTGATGATATTCCATATCAATTTCTAAAGCACTTACCGGACTCTTCACTAACATGCCTTCTTTACATATTCAACCAAGTTTACGCTTCCGGAAAGATTCCCGATTCGTGGAAGAACTCCACAATTATACCTATCCCAAAACCGGGAAAGGATGCTACTGACCCAAACAACTATCGTCCTATCTCTCTGACTAGTTGTGTATGTAAAACTTTAGAACGAATGATAAACACTAGACTGGTTTGGTTTCTTGAGGCCAACGATATAATATCCCCTCTTCAAAGTGGCTTTAGAAATAGAAGAGGGACAAATGACCATCTCATCAGATTAGAGACGTTCATTCGAGAGGCTTTCGCCAAGAAAGAACACCTTGTCGCTGTGTTCTTCGATCTTGAGAAGGCCTATGATACTACATGGCAGTATGGCATCATGAAAGATCTTCACGACCTTGGCGTACGTGGAAACCTTCCCAATTTTATATCTAATTACCTATCAGATAGACACTTCAAAGTCCGTGTTGGTTCAACTTTTTCTGAAACGTCTAAACAGGAAATGGGAGTCCCACAGGGTGGAATCC